ACTGCATCGAAGGTATTCAAGGCACGGCACAGAGTGCCCTGGACTGGCATTGTGTGGCGCCGGCGCGGTGGGGCGTCCGCCGTAAAATTCCGCCCAGCACAGACCACCCTCGGTCCACCTCACAAAGACCCTCCACCTCCACTCCTTACCTGCCCAGCCCCTCGGCCACAGACGGACATATGCGTGCGGGCTACGTTCCGTGCGTAGGCCGAAACTGCTCACAGGGAGGCGACGCCTGCCAAGCTGTGCTGGGCTGATGCCGATGGACCGATGGGTCGATGATTGTTAACACCGCACTACGACCTCTCAACGGCACGGTTCAGTGGCTATTTGACCTCGCTGGTCACCCACCCCCTCCCTCCCTTCCTGTTCCACCCCCCCCCCCCCCCCCAACCCACCACTCGCACTTTCTCCGGCCGCGCTGTGGGCGCATGCGCCGTGTGACCCGGCCCGGCCGTGCCATTCCGGAAGTGGCTACGATCGGTGATGACTGGCAGGGTGGCACTCGATCTGAGGGACTGACGACTGAGGATTGACGAAGGACGATAGACGATAGACGATTGACGATTGACGACTGACGACTGACGACTGACGACTGACGAAAGGCGCTAGACGATAGACGACTGGCGACTGACGACTGACGATTTATGTCTGTGATTTATGTCGACAGACGGACAGACGACTGACGACTGATGATTAGTGACTGAGTCATGCATTGCCCAGTGCCCACCTGTCCCAGCAGCTATTACCTACTGGGGGCAGAAAGCCGTGTGCGTTCGTCACCGCCTTTCGGAACGGATGTGTTTAGTCAACCTCCACTGCGCTTACGTTAATCGGCTATTTAAAGAGATCGTGAACCACATCCGCTTTACAGGTTGCTGTATCGCGTACTGGTGCTGCCTGTAAGCGCCGAGCGATGGATGTCCGGTCCCACACTAGTTAGAGCAGGTTCAGAATCACAACAAGAGGTCCAGCCCCCGCCGAGGGCGATGGGACGGTCGGGAGGGTGTCGACTCCTGTCCACGTGCCGAGGAGGGGAAGGGCGGGGAATCGCCCTCCATTGGACCGGACTTCCTGCTGTGTGTTGGGGAGTGGGGAGTTCATTGGGGAAAGCAAACCGACCACAGCTTGCCATGCCCTCACATGACTGAGCTGGTGTGGCAGCTAATGATAGCCTGCTATCGCATCACCAATGGTAAACCGCGCTTGAATCAAAATGTCCGTGGTATATCACTGGTTAGCTTGCTGATTTGTTTTGTAACGTAGCTGGCATGTTTATTCTGTCCACAAAAACATAATGTCCTCTTGTTGGCAGCCTGCCTTATCATTCAGTCTGCAGTAAATTCAATGCTCTCTGACCGCGGAGTTGACATCACCGACCTGTGCTGATCTCATCTGACCTTGGATACGCCACCTCTGTGTTCGACCGCTGACCTCACCCAGGTTCATCGGTGATGGTATTAGCAGACATTCCACGGACTAATGACTAATCTTCCCCGGCAATCAATGCCTAATAATGGCGGATCAGCCATTAGCGCTCACGCATCGTCCACACTTCCTGGTGGCAGAGCGCTTCGCCTCGAGTTCCCTCAACCGTGATCACGGATGAGCGTGACGGTATGAATCTCTTATCACTTGAAACGTGTCGACATCATCGGAGGGCCTCTAGACATGCTTCCATCATAACCTTACCACAAAACGTCTTCTTCAGACCGCGAGAAGCACTCTGCTATCGTTAGCAGTACTGATAGCATTGCCACAAACGAGCTGAGCGCACTGTTCATTGATTACAGAACGTCAGAGGGTTTTGCGCTTCGTAAGGAGTGATGTCAGTTGCCCACTGTCCAGTACTGAGTGAGATCACCGTTATCAACTGAAGCGCTGAGATTCCATCAACTCTTTGACAGAAATCTACCGTTGCACTGTAGGCGATCCATGCATTCTAACGCTTCAGGGGCCCGAAAAAAATGATGGCAAATATGAATAAATACTGGCGTATTTTGTTATAGCTAAATATCCCAGCACCCGAAATGTGACACTATTTGTAACATCAAGCCAAACACTTTCAAACCACACACGTCCAAACACGACCTTTTTTGGAGAGGCTGAGCTCTGGTGCCTGGTCGTGATTTGATCCTAGTTATATTTAGAGCTGTAAATCAAGACTAAAGTTGAATATATTGAAAACTCTAATTTTGATTGAAACCTCATTCCTTGCGAAGTAATATGCATGCCATACTTTCAACTTTTGAAGCTTCTCTATATTTTTTATAATATTTTGCATTACACCTTTTTGACTGCATCAGTTCAAGACTGTGTACAAGTTGTACAGCGTTTGGCAATGCGCATGTTTTACTGTCCGCGAGATCCGGCCACAAAAACACCATCACTTAGTAGCCTAATGTTTGTTCTCAATACCCTGTTAAAATTGTCTGCGACTTTTTGCGATTCACGGAGTTATGGGCGTTTTCCTCAACCCTTACCGTATAAGGTGGGGGCAGGGCCGAGGGGAGAGCGAAGTACCGCCGCCCAACCGAAGATTCTGTTCGCGACAGCTCCGAACTCACCAGCGACAGAAAGCTGAAACTTGGCATACCTGACCTTTGATTCAAGTCGAATCTTGTGACACCAACTACATTTTTAGGTCAGGTCAGTTCACGGACCAATGACGTCATAAGTGAACCTCTGCACGATCCTCAGATGTCGCAATTTCGCAAAGCCCTCAATGCCAGAGCAGCTTTCACATGGAGATGAAACTTACAGAACCTAGTATCCTCCAGAGGATTCACAGTTTGTATGTCTCGGATTTTCCCTAAAGGTCACATGAGGTCAGGTCGATCACATGACCTCACCATTGTGAGTCAATGTTGTAAAATGAACGCTGCTATTTTGGCGCCGGGAACGATATCAAACTACATAGTTCAAGCTTTACTGTTGCAAGGTCCGATGCTTTACTTTTGCATTGTTGAACTTGCGTGACGTTATTAATGACGTCACTATGATCTAGTCATTATAGTTTTTGGTCCATAACTCCCCAACAAATTGAGCTAGCGATTCAGGCAAGCCACTAATGAACTCAGGAAGATCTGCCGAATCAAATGGTATGCAATTTGACCTCCTTCGACCATTTTCGTGACCTGGGAATTCTGACCTAAAAAACTTACAATCGGGTAGGTAGAAATGGCTTCCGTTCGGGGAGAGCAGCATGCCCACGTGGCACCGAAGTTCTAACTCATTTAGAGGCCAAACGGAAAACGAAATTCCTACTCCTTCCTTTAACTCCGTTAGCATACATTCATTTCGCAACTTTGAATCCCAACCACCAAACATAAGCGTTACACTTACGTTGTAGGTAGACACGATACTAGGCACTAGCTAAAGCTATTTATTTGTAGAACATGTGATCGGAACGTTCAAACAACCACAATTTTTCGCAAGTCATGGTCTCCTCTTTTTTGCTTTGCAATTGCATCTTAGCTTTGCTTACATGCAATTTCAGCGCTAAACCATTTCTATTTCACCGATAATTACCTTCTTCCTAAAACACGATAACTTGCGATCTCCTGAAATGTGGTAGTCTGTTGGTACTATTTTCCCCCAAACAGACCAGTCTGAAAGCGCCTTTGCAACCACAGAGATCTCTATGTTTGCAACAATGTTTTCTTTGCAAAACCAGCACCCGTGGTTTGCGATCAAGTGGTTCATCCGTAACTGACGCTAGTTGAGAAGTAAGTCATAACACAGACAACACTGTATATGTTTTTGTTAAGCCTCTTCTGTCCTGTGTTAAGCCTATGGGGAAAAGGCATTGCATTGCTCGCTCTCTTGCACGTTGCAAAGAAAACCTGATTACTTCTGATGCAAACACTTATATCAGTTGAAGCGCAATGAAACTAGGCACAAAATAAGGGGTTTAAGGATGACTGGTTTTGAGTCTAACTTAAGATATAGCTCATGAAGTGCTAGGATAGCGAAATCACCTACTGTGCGTTGATTAGAAATTTGGCATACCTGTGTCAGTTACGAGCGTGCGGGCTCCATTGGCTTCCAGGAAAAAGATTCGAGTTAGAACGCATGGTATGCGTCTTGATGGGACAGCTTTCAGAATTTCTCCCACCGAGGCATCGCAATGCCGTCTGAACGTGATATATTGCAGACTCGTTTGTCCCACTTGGTCTTTAGGAGACTTACCGTTATCCAGTTGTAATAGTTCAATCATTTCGGGTCATAAATGTCGCATGGAATCCGTACTCGACATACGTAAGATTAACATTACGTGGTCATTGGTGCACCGGTAGTTGTAAATCCGACTTACCCTGAAACCGATATCGATAGCTAGAGTAGCAATAAAATGAGTCTTCATGTATATGCCTTGCATTATGGGACAATTCCTCTTTGCAAAATGTCCACAACTGGTATAATTAAATGTTTGAATAATTGGAACACAGACCCTCTCCTACTTTTTTAAAAACATGCACTATAATGGCAGCGGGAAGAAGAGACCTCCGGCCCTAGGATTCTCAGGTCAAGCGAATTCGATGGGCCGCTCGACTTATCCCCGTGAGAATCACGTGATTTCTCGGCGCTCTTTCCCTTCGTGAATCCCACACCGTGCTAATCATTTTCAGGGGCGAGAAGCTCCTTGAACCCACCGGTTTCGGCTACCGCTGAAGAAATCCCTTTCATCAGCACGGCAATTGGCTACGGTGTTAATAGAAAGTCGTCGTTTCATTCTCCGCGGAGATTGGATGGGTCTTTGATCGAAAGTTCTCTCGCTAGCTGAAACGATGGGCTGTGATGTTGATAGAAAGTCGGCGCCATTGAAGTGTGATAGCTCTCGGTAGCGATAAGTGGCTGTGGATAATCAGATATGTGACGGCAATGCATCAATATCCTACACGGTTTGTGTGAAGGTGTGTCGGATTGCGTAGCCTCTGCTTTCAGACAGTGAGCTGATGATACGGACGCACCTGAGATGATCTTTTCTGCTCCTGTTTCAGATGAGGAGGAGGAGTGGGAGGAGACTAGAGCCAGTTCGGAGGACCTCCTGCAGGATTCCAGCTCGCGGTGGAGGCAAAACAGGTAAACGCCATCTCCTTTCACTGGATTTAACAGCATCGATTTGTGGTCATATAGTTGCTGCTAATTGTTTCTGCGTTGCATGCTTTATTTCGTAGTAATTAATGCAGTACCTCGCGATGAGTGACCCCTTCCTGACAACCACCATACTTCCACAGGAGTATCTCTCAGCTGGATGTGCGGGAGTCTGGTGGCCGCCACAGTCCGGACCCAGAGGACCACATCACGTCGGGAGTATCGTCCTCACGACGGTCGGCCAGCCAGCGGCAGAGGTGCGTGAGACCGTCCCCTCGTGCTCCCTAGGTGTCGAATCCTGACCTGCCAACGTCATAAGAAGGTAGCCCAAGTTATCATCCTGTTATGCTGCCGTCAGTCTAGGAGTTGTGCGCCAATGTCAGTTCCCTAAAATGCCGTCCTCGGGTGTCATTCCTCGGGTGGTTTTCAATTCACACCAGCTACCAGCCAACCCCTGCGGCCTGCATTGTCGATATACGTTTGAGGCTGGCGATGCCCGTCGTGCGGCACTTTCGCCCAGTGTGGGCCGTCACCGGTTTTTGTTGATCCACTGAAAGACCAGTGTGGACTTGCTAAGAGACCTGTGTGGGCCACTGTCTCCCGGACCCGGAGGTCTGCTAAGAGACGTGTCCGGCTGAGCCGTGATTTACCGAGTCACGAGCGCCGCCGCGGTGCCGGAGAAACGGGACACGGCTCTCAGGGGCCGCCGCCCCAGGAAACACAGCCGGCTCACTGACCTTCGCCAGACGCCGATTTCGAGTCAGAAAGCACAGAACGGCGTGTCATACATAGAGTTGGTGTCACCAGTTTCGGACGTGTTTAGTAGCACCAACAAGCTCTTGTGTCTAAAAAGATATTTGGCACGTAAATAATGTGTCGTCGTGACACATAACGTCAGGTTATTTTTTTCCTCAGCAATTTCATCCATCCCATGACCTGGCAAGTTTCCACTTAGGTACTGAATCATTTATCTAAATGAAACATAACCGTTTTGTCAGAGTTTAACACACGATAAACATCATTTACATCAAAGGGTGCGTCAAAAACCGGTCATAAGTTTCATATCATAAATCTCGTGTCGGAAACAAAACCAGATAGCGGTGATCTCACATTCTGGACTCAATTGATGCTCATCTAGCTGGCTTGCAGACTAGACACGGACCAAAAACGGGCCAAAATGGGCCGGTGGTGGACCACAGAGAGGCGGTTGTACACTGTCTGAGACGGCGCCGTGCACGTGTAGGTCGGGGGTGCGGCGTCTGTCACCCTATAGCGGTGCGGAATTAGCGCGTTCCCCGCCGCGGCCGAACGGCGTCGGTTCGGTCGGCTGGAACAGGTTCCCCGGAGTGAGTCATTTCGTCCAGGGCCACTCGACTTCGGCCCACTTGGTGCGACGCTCAACGGCCATTCCTTTGTTAATCGCCCCGTGTTGACGCATGCAATAAATCCGTCACAGGTGCACGAAATGCCCGTGCAGTCGGGTTGCAAAGCTCCTTTGCGCCATTGAGCTTCAAACCGACTCGTCGTGGCGCCAGCCAGCGCCGTGATTTAGGCTAGCTGATCCATTTGGCAGACATATCCTGGTAGCCTTGACTTAAATATATCTGTATTTAAATCATTACCGTGTCATGGATTTTGTGATCTGTACGGGCGGCGAGCTTCAGCGGCTGAGTATTATGTTTGAAACTAAACGTATACTTTCATTTATGCCTAAATAAGATGGTACTCTATGCAACATTAAACACGTATATTCGTTTACAAAAATTTATGTCTAGGCGGCTGTTTTAGAACGTTTTTTTTTTTGCAAAGCTACATTTTTTACGCTTAATGGCACGGTTCGTCTCTATGCGCTTTGAATATAGCTGAGCGCTTCGGTTGCAGGCTGTGGCCAATATTTGCCCATCTTAAAGCCCTTCGTAAAAACATGTAGTTAAATGCATTCTTCCTACTCAGGGATATTCTATTATTCATAAGCATTGACCACACTATCCTTCGGCTTCTAAGTGTCCTTGCGCGCCTACTTCGATCACAGCTACTATCACCTGCGTTTTTGTATGCAAGTGAGTGCACGGTTTGCAACCACTTTGTGCAAATTTGCTGCAGACTCCTCCCAGGTACACAAAACGTGTCCTATTGTTGGATACTAAACAGGAATTCAATATGCAGATGCAGACCTGCAGGCATTAACATTCTAAGGAGCGTGCAAACTCAGACACCAAGTTCAATGGTCATGCGACCTCAAGGTTTCGGCAGTGAGCAGTGCTGACCGTCTGGAAAAGTATGCGATCGAGAGATGTCCTTTTCGCGTAGTGTTAGGAATATTTTCGCCGGTGACGAACTAAACCGACGGACACTGAATAAAACGGGATTGAAAAGCGATGTATATCAGAAAGCCTAAGCGATTATCTGCCCAATATGACACAGACTCTTCGTTTGAGATCAGGTCCTGAAATACCATTAGTCGTTACAGATCAGATTTTAACTACATACTTTCAATGTTCACCAGCGTCTTATTTCACTTTAACCATGAACGCTGGCATCAATAGCCGGCATTCGATTTAACGGTCGTTTTCTTACCATACCCGGTCTTTTCTGTCGCTTCAAACCACCCTCTGTCGTTCCCGGTCGTTTCTAACCACCCTCCGTCTTCACAGGTCCCCTCCGTCGGCCGTGCCGCCGGGTAGGGTGGAGTGGAGTCGTGGTCTCAGCTCGCCCCACGACGAGGACGAGGACGAGGACGCTCCACCACCTCCGCCGCAGCGACCGCCACCAGGTAAACACAGACAGACTGCAGACACAACACTCCGGCCCAGACTATACATACATCCTTCCTGCTGAGCTTAACTGAATAGAGGTTTGTTGGGTGATATATTGTGATTGGAGTCTGCCAACGCTATCAAGATGCGTCAATATGTGTGTCATATCGCCAAGCGAAATGCCTCACGAATCCGTCGAATCATCGGAGATATTTGTTGTACGAGCAAATGTCTTTGTCCCAAAATATTATCATTTGCTGTCGCGAGTTCGCTGTCAGCGTGATAAAGCTGTATGCGTGTTTGATGTTTCTCAAACGAGTGTTTTGCTGAGATGACCTTCGCTCTCCACCAGCTGACTTCGGCAGCTCGGCGTCCGTCGTTCCCAGACGATGGATCACCTCCCTCAAGCTCGACCCTGCGTGACTCCCGCCCCTCCCTCTGCCCACAGAGCTGGTGCCGGAGGCTCCCAGAGCGCACCACCCGGACTACTCTCGCAGCTGGCGTCACTCTCGGCCTCACCCGGAGGGTGGTCGGGGAATATACGAGGAGCGCAGTCGGTACCGTCCGCGCGAGGAGGGTCGGAGTCGGTCCGGGGGCGGCCACCGCCGACCCGACGAGCCTCTACCCGTGCCACCAGGCGGTGAACCTCGCCCTGAGGAGCTGCTCTCTCGCGTTGACCGCTGGGTGCTCAGCTCCGTCGCTGTGGCCGAGACGGCCGCGCCGGGAGTGCGCCGACGTCACAGCGGCCGGCAGCACGCCGAGAGGCGCGTCCGGTCACCCTCAGAGGACCCCGCCGGACGGCTCACCAAGTCGCGCTCTACCGACACCTTCCTCGAGCACGACGTGATGAGGGAGCCGTGGCGCCGCCCGCCGGCCGCTCATGTGGCTGAGGAGATGAGACGCCAGTCGGTGGCGCGAGACGAGCCCGTACAGAGGTCGCGCTCGTCGGCTCATGTGGGCGAGGAGGCGCGGCGATCGGCGCCTAGAGAGGAGACGGTACAGCGGTGCCGCTCGTCTCCGCAGGTTACCGAGGACATGAGACGTCGCCTGGCTGCCAGAGAGGCCAGAGAAGCTAGAGATGCAAGAGAAGCGAGGGATCTACGAGATATCAGAGAAGTGAGGGACGTTAGAGAAGCCAGAGGGCTGCGAGAGGCCAGGGAGGAGAGGGATGCGACCAGGGATCTGCGGGAGATTCGGGAGTCTCCCCGACCCCGGCGTGGCATGCAGCGGTGCCGCTCCAGCACCAGCCTGCTGGACCAGCGGAGTCCGGACCGGGCGCGCCTCCCGGAGTCGGCCGGCGGCTGGCGCGGCGACCACACGCGCCGCTGGGGCACCCTGGACCGTGACCTGCGCGAGAGGCCCAGCTCTCGGCGGCGGGAGCAGAGCCGCGACTCCGAGCTGCGCTACCAGGTGGCGCGCGAGCTGCGGCCGACAGAGGGCAGCGCGCGCAGCCGCGGCCCGCGCGCCGGCAGCCGCACTCCCGACTCGGAGCTGTGGATGAGCGGCGCTGACAGCAGGGGGCGCTCGCGGTACAGCGTGGCCGACCCCAGAGGAGTGCGAGAGTACGACTATCGGCCCAGTCTGATAGCTCAGCCCTACTAGCCGCCATCTGGCTGGGGGTGGGGTACTGAAGGTTGTGCTGAGGGTCTGTCAGATGGAGCGCACATTGTGCAGCGTGCCGCTGAATAAACGGGATGGTGAGCCGGTGGAGGTGATAGGTGATGTAAGGATATCGATCGCCATGTCACCTGCTGGTAGAATAGAGAACTAGAGCTATAAGGTGGACCAAAGGTCCGAGAGGGGACGATATTTGCTGGCACTGGGTGATCGGAGTCGTATGGTGCTTGGCGAAATATGACCGAAGGAGCGCTCACCAATTTGTGATGTGATATAATTCACTTAGGTTAAGCAATTAAGCATACTCCAGTGAAATTGTGAGCAAGACAGTCTTGCCAACTAACTGGACGTCTATCCATAGGTATCCGAGAGATTAATAGTCCTCCAAATCTGCAAGATTTGGAACAAGGTGTCGAATGCAGTGGACAAGGTGTCAAGTGTTCATTTGAAACTTATTCTGATGCGTGTTTTCGGCATTACCCGCTATCTGACTGTATGCCTGCAATCGGGGTGTCGCCGGCGAAAGTCATGTCAGATTTGAGACACCATAAGGTTTTGCAATCATGTGACAAAAATCTTATTGCGTGTCTACAACCAGCCAAACGTGACAGTAATTGGTCTCGACGTCACGTTTCACGCGGCGGATAAAAGTGTGACTTTTACAAGCTCTTCCCGTTTTTGTGCCAGAAAAGAATAATTCATTGGCCTTGAGTTGTTTTTCCTCTTCTACCCGCACTCCGTTTGCCATGTGTAAGCGATTGGTCGTCGCTACTCTGTGTCCTGAGGCGCTTTTACGCATAATTTTGTCTTTCCGCCGCGTTCAAGCAATGCGTTGAGCCTAAATGTAGTGATAGTTCGTGTACTTACAAATACACTGGAGCTCTATCTGCTGTGATAAGTGATGATGAGTCCTGAAAAAGCGTGCTCCATTTGAGCAGACTGGTAGAATTTATATTTGCTGGGAATCGAGGGAACGTCAAAATAACGGTGTGCTCGGGAGAAACTTAAGGATTACAGATAATTTCAACAAGCCTGAGCCCCTGAGGATTAGTTTGTATGTGAGTTTTGACACTAAACAACAACTTGAATCATCGTTTGCCAATCTTCTTTCGAATGATGGTGGGCTGACCATGACAGAATGATAGAGCGTGGAAAACACATCGAGGGGCTGCTATAATCGTGCTTAAAGATAATTAACACTGAGATTCGGTGGAAGCTGACATAGGAACGCTAATTCAATGTTATGTTGCCTACGAAATTGTATGGAATTAAATTTTCTTGATTTCATATTCACAAAAAAACTTACATCTGTGCGGATGATTTGTGCATAGCCCACAAGCCTTTTATTCTCTCGTACTTTTGCGAGCTTCGACTCGTTGATTTGGCATGTGTATACTCGTATGGTGTTTATTTGTAAACGCATTCACGTTGTAGTGAATGGGTGCTCGGATTCATTTCGTTCTAAGAGTTCGGAGGAAAATAAAACGAAAAAGTAGCAACCAATCGCTTACTGCTCCCGATAGCCATCTCGAAAACAAAGCATAGCACAAATACATTTATTTACCTACAAACGATCAACACACTGCAGGGAATACTACCAACTGTGTTCGCTGACAAGGTGCCTCTTATACATATAAAATACTGGTGTCCATTACACAGAATTAAAATAGGTATACATTGATCTAACTATGTATTGATGCATAAGCATGTCGTCCTGTCGAACTTAACAATTAAATGTATTACAACGCTAGGGCAAAACTAATAGTACACCAATACGTAAACGATTATATTATTGTTAACCACCACTTGAAAGACATCTAGCACAATAATCAGTCATCGGCCAGCTCTCCAGCCTGCTCGAACCACTTGACTCAAATAAAAACTGCCTACCGTTGCTGTCAAATTTTAAAACAATGCATTGCCAACTTTCGACCACGGTTACCTAAACACAATCCACGCAAAAGTAACGAATCCAGGTCACGAGGGGGTTGCCAGCCGTGACATGTAATCGTTCCGTGACGGGGTTTATCACCAATTAGGGCAGCAGTTTCTCTTTATCGCCAGCTCGCCAGCCCGGGAAGCAGGGAGGGGTGCAGAGGAGCAGGCAGCACGGAGTGACGGTTTGTGTAAAAGGGCACAGCGCAGGCGGAAGACGAGAGAAAGCATGGCCAACAGTATAGAGAGCAGACGTCCCGGCCCCGTGCGTCGCTGAGCGGTTTCATTTCGGTCGCTCATTACTCCAGTGAGGCTATTGTCTCAGTGGTGGTTTCGTCATTGTTTGAGACAATGTGGGTGGGTAGTATAACGCTTGCAGGTGTGAACAACCCGACCCGTAAAAACAACAGTGTTGAACTATTAACAGCAAAAACATCTAACAAATAACTGCGCTGAATATGCTGTAAACCTCTTCAAAACGTGGCTATCATGGGGTCCTCGTCATCGTCCCTTCGCGCCCCGTCCCCATCGTCCCCAACTCCCTCATCTGCCGCGAGGTTCGAGGGACTGCTGCGACCGACGGGATCAGAACCTCCGGTCAGAAGATCCTGGATGTTGTTTCTGCTCACGGCGGGAGTAGAAGCAGGGGCGGGGGCAGGGGAGGACGGACGCACCACGCTGTACGAGAGTCGAGACCCATGTGCGAACTCTGCGAAATCTCTGAAATTTTCGAAGTTTCCGGGTCGGGGTCCGTTGTGCGGATGGTACTCCTCTGGGCTGTCCGACTGCGCGTGAAGAGAGCTCACACTGTCTGAAAACATTCCTCCCCGTAGGATGATGTAGTTTCCAGAGCCGAGGATGTCCTGCTGGTGGTGTTCTCCGTCGGAATGTGAACTGGCCTGTAGGGTTTGCTGACGAACTGGAGCGAGTGGCACCGCCTTTGGCAGCCGCTCGGAGGGGGATGAGCCATCGCGGACGGCAGGTCGGTACACTACGCCGTCCAGCGGCTCCCGTGGAGAGTCAGAGTGAGGACCGTCGGAAGGGGAGAGAGGGAGGGGGTGGTGACGATGAAGAGTGGGTCTGGGATCCGTAGAGTGGTGTGGAGTTGAAACAATGTGCCCCGGTCGATCAGTGAACTCCCCGTGGTCGTGGAATCTTTCATGATCGGATAAATGTTCGTTGTGATTAAAATCCCCGTGCAGCGGCTGACTTGGATGAAAATCCTGATGTCTGTGGCGCTGCCTTTCCAGCTTACGTCGCTCCTTCTCTTGTTCCGTTACTCCTAAAACATGATTTGTGTGCTTTTTGCGGTGATCCGAATGCTCAGGTTGAGACTGACTGGGAGGCTGCTGTCCACGGAAGCGATCATCCAGCTTTTCGCGATCCTGGATCGCCCTGAGCCGATCATTAATGAGTTCCCACTCGTGCTGTACCAAGTTCCTGAGCTGAAGCACCTCGTCCCTCCCAGCCAGTCGATCTTCGTGCGGCGGTGGCGTTGACCTGACCCCGGTCGGTGCCGGGGCCTCCCCGACAAACCGTAGAGGCCAGGTGGACGGCACGAACCCGCTCGAGCTGATGCTACGCCGCCTCCGCCTCCGCCTCCGTGGGATGGAGTGTGGGTCCGTTCCCCCATCGTCCGAACCAGTCCGAGCCTGATGGAAGGAAGCATTGAGATGTTACTTGTTTTGTACTGGCAATTAACAACCCATCACGCACAACTATGAAGTAAACTTCTTGAATAAAAAAGAGATGTCAGACATCAAAAGGAATGCACCAGCAATTAACCCGCGCCCCACTGGGGTCTGTGTATAACACGCCCTACTGGGGGGGCTATTCATAGCCCCCCCCCTCCTAACTCCGAAACTACTGGGCCGATCGTCAAAATTCAAACGGCGTCTGATAGCCCCGGAAAAACTGTCGAGCGAAACCTAATTTCATTGACCTCGAGGTCACCGATGACGTCACAGGTCAGGTCAAAGTAAAAATTATTAGCACTTTGGCTTGTTCACATTTTGGGCTCTGGCCGCCGTCTTACAAGTCAGATCAGGCTCATTTTTGGTTTCCACACTCGTGAATAGATGCTCTAGATACCTTGAGGGTACCAAACTTGTACTTTGATTTTCAGGTCAGGGTCAGGTCATCACAGGTCACGAAAATATTATATCATGCGTCGGTCACGTGACACATGTTTTATGGTCCATTTAGGCCATAGATTTCGAATTTGATGTCGTCTGTGTCATTCAAGGTCATTTTGAGTCGAAATTAGCTTAGGTCAGGTCACTTTCAGGTCAAAAAAGGTCAAATTTTGAAGTTGAAATTTTTCAACAAAAAAGGTGTCTATTGGATGCAGTTTGAACTCAGGAACACGACAGTGCCATTTATATTGGTGTACGATGCCAAACACGTACTGAAAAATTGATTTGAAAAATTAATAATTGTGAATTTTTTGCAATAATGCGTATAACTTGGCCATTTTTGAAGATATTTAGCTAAAACTTGCTAGAGTTAGTCATAATCATGCGTTCTGTCACATATATTCCGGTTTTTTCGAAAAGTCAAAAACTTTTTGAAAAAAATATAAAAATATAAATTTTGAATAATATTATATAAAATTTTCAAAATTTTCAAAATTTTGAAAATCCGAGATAGCAGTTTGATAGCGCGGTCGATTCTGAGTCCTTTCATTCAAAGAAATTGGATCTAGCTTAAAAACTGAGCTCTTGGGAGCGATTGCCGTGGTTCAATGTTTTGCGTCGAAATCGGACGAACATGACGTCACTCTGACGTCATTTCCGGCCGACCTATGGTAGCTACGAAGTTCAAACTTTGACACAAGGTGTCAAATTGATGCAGCCGAAGGTAATGAAAGTTTGGCGTCGATTCGTCAAGTGGTTTGGAAGTTATTGCAGAAAAACGGGAGGGGGGGCTATAAATAGCCCCCCCCCCCCAGTGGGGCGCGGGTTAAACTGGGCAGAGCATATGACGATAATGTGCATAAATAACTAGGTGTAATTTTACGCATTCGCTTTAGCTGTTGAGAGGCGCAGTAAAATTGCATTACGTATATAGCATCGGCGTCTATTTAATTGGGCAATAAGGAGTTTCGTGATCGTTTGCATTACGCGCGCATTGTGTGGTTTGTTGGCCACTGGACAGGTTTCGCCATCAGCCGTCACGCGGTGCGGTTCACCGACGTCAATGACGCAGCAGAAAAGCACCTGTCCGCTGCCCACCAGCGGCTGCCGGTGTCGCTTTGTCGCCAGTCGTGAGCTTACAGCAGCTAAAGGCTGTGGCGGGTGTGTTCACACATTTCGCCCAAAGCCGCATGCGGTGGCATAAGCGGGACTTGTGTAATAAGCCTACTGATCGGAACGGCAGCTGAGCTGTCGGCTGGCTGGGGCGCCTAGCAGCTAGACTGGTCCGCAAAACACGCTCGAACGGATGAGCGGTGAAGGCAACTCCTTGAAAAGGGTGCGGGATTAGGTCATGGACAAATGCTTTAAGTCGATGATTCTCAACTGAAGAGCTTTATTTTGCAGGGATAGGTAATAAGCGATAGTTAGGTAAGCGTCAAAGGAACGCAGTGGATGAAAGGGCACCGCATCAGAGCGTGCCTCAATGAAAGGCGCATGCGAGAAAAAGATGTTGGTAATATTTTAATGTTATCGCAAAAGACAGCATACGGAATGATCCAGTGCTATGCACAACAACTAGAGACTAGTGAGCGTAAATGAATGGTGAATAGCGAAAGTGAATCGAATTAGTAACCTAATTCGAATACCGTCATTAGATGCTCAAACACTAATGATATGTGCTTGTCTAAACTCTATACCCAATTAGCATTATTCAAAGTAACATATTCTCTCAATCGGCTTGCGCAACCCTAAGTCCTACACCTGGCACTAGCCGACCACCTGACACTACGCTCGTGTCGCGTCCTCTCTCTCCTGGCTCGGAATGCGCGGGTCACCGTCCCTTCCCTCGCCGGCCGGTGGAATGCACCGCGGCTGCTGCCCGCTGCTGACGACTTCCTGACTGGCCTCACATTGCAGTGAAGGGTGAGGCAACCCGCTATAGCACGCGGATGGGGCTGGCAGCTGCAGTTGCGATCCAGAGAGAGGGCTGATGTGGCCAGACGTGGGATACGGCGGGTGGAAGTATAGGACTCAGGGGCTAGGACGAAAGGCTTGAGTCACTATATCCTCGTATATGGTCAGCTCAATAGGACGGACTGATGAATTTGACCGGCGGGAAGACCTGATCAGCCGGATGAATAGAATTGTGGACAGGGCTGGGGGTAGGAGCATTTCTTTGTACACAGACTTGTGGGGCGGACTGGTGGACCAAACTGGTATTGTAGAACGGTGGGAAAGACTGGCGGGATATGATGGTGGAACAGACTGACGGGATTACACGGATGGACAAACCGGTGTATAGAAAGGCGCTCATCCGTCCGGAACTGCTGCCTGCCGCTACACACGCTGGTACGGCTCACATTACGTGGCTCACATTACGTGGCCTACACTATACGTGGCCACAGCGATAATCGCGTGTGACACGGCCCAGCGAGTGCTCATGCGGTGTAACAACGCCGATTGGGCGTCGCATTATGACACATCGATGAAGAAAACACGTTCAGGAGTCGGTCAATCGCGCAGTCTGTTCAAGGGTTACCGACTCCGGTGAGTTTAACCTTTTACTCCAGCCGTGGCTCTGTGATGCGGAACCGATTGTGGCTGATGTTTCGCACCCTGGCCGCGGTGGCGAAACTGCCCTGACCGCGCCCGTTTGCAGGGGAGCGAGGGTGAGAGGCGCCGCGCACGGTGGCTGCGCTTTACGTCAGTCGCAGGCCGCACAGTGACGGGGGCAGAGTTATGTAAGGTCAAACCAGCGATAGCCTGTGCCCCGCTTGAGTGCTCTTCCATATCAATGGGCACCGCGTTCAGCAGGCCTCGCCGGCATCAAATCGGTTGCTGTAAATAAGCGGTCTAGACAATCTAGTTTTATGGTCCAGGAAACAGATTAATTTGCCAATTTTTCATTGTTTTATTATCTCATGTATAAATAAGGAGTATTTCTTACATGACCTTTTGTTACGGAGCGAGCGAAGCGAGCGTAGTCTTTCCTTAGATTAACGGAAATTTCTGAGTATGAGCGGCCGGCCGGCCGGCCGGCCGTGCGGAGGCGGACGCTTTTGCGAGGCTTATATCTCAGCAACCACTTGACCGATTTACATGCGGTAAATTTTGTAGGGTAGCTTTATTCCTTCTACCAAGTATTGGACTATTCCCGATGCATGTGGGTGACCCCTTATGCACGTGCCACGTGCAAAACGAAGAGGTGCCAGTTTTGTAATTGTTGCAATATCTCGGTAACTACTTGGCCGATTGCGCTGAAAGTTGGCATGTAGATAAGCACCCACTAGGCACTGCATATCCATGTGCCAGAGTTGGGGTGCTGCTGCACGTGCGCACGTGCAGGGGTCGTTTCCAGATCTCGAGAGCGGCTGGACCGATGACGCTCAAATTTGGTACACGGTTAGGGACCAGTTAGTAGGGTGCCGTGCACAAGTCAGTTGGGACCCATTTTGCACGTGCGCACGTGCAGGGTGCCGCTCCCAGATCTCGAGAACGGCTGGGCCGATTGTGCTCAAATTTGGCACATCGCTAGAAACCGGTCAGTAGGGTGCCGTGCACAAGTCAGTTGGAGGTACCCCCTCGAAATTTCGCACGTGCAAGACTCACCCCCTCGCTCGCTCCGTTAGTCGCCCCAAAAGGCGCTATACTGGTGGATAGTTGCTTTGAAAGGGAGGTTACAATAGAAGAGAACATAAAAGGGAAGAACAATATTTTGTGGCATTGTATGTAGATGCACGAGCAGATGATATTCTCGTTGCTCACCTGTATGACAAAATATCGTTTAGGAGAATGTACAGAAGTTAGCTGCGTCTCTGCAAAAGAAGCACAAATTACACTGAGCAGAAATGTCTCATGCAATGGCACTTAAGAAAACACAAAAGAAAAACACGAAAAGAGCAAAACGTAGGAGTTAGGTACATGAATTGGATAAAATTATTTGTTTATAAAACTAAACTAGCTAGGAACGAAGAAACATGCATGATGCATATGTACAAATGACATTTTATCACGGTAAAAGCATGATTGCCGATAGAGAAGGTGCGAATTGCAGTTCCAGCGAACGCTATAGCCAGCGTATAGCTAGCACAGACATACACATGATACGAAGCATTCTACATGTGTCGTTCGCTTTATTTGATCTGCAGTTTATGAAAATATTTGTGCAAATAAATATATACATTCCACAAGCAGTGTGATCACTGCATGCACCATGCAGTGCAATGTCATCAGCTCTGGTGGCATTGTGAAGCATATGACCAGACATTGCGTATTATATGAGCGCAATTCGTCCTTTTTCAGCTAGACGGTTACGACAATCTTGGGAGTAACAATAGGTACACTGAATAATAACAATGAACATGTTTCTGCAATATGCTACGACGTGTCCTTCATTTAGTCGCCGTTTGGAGTGATGACAATGCAAATTACACTTTTTTCCAGTTTTAAGTGACGTAAAAATGAAGGCTTTTGCTCGGTCCGGTGCCGGGCATGATATTGCCACATTTCATTCGCTGTGGGTCATGTTAAAAACCTGGTGCAGTGCTTCCATGCTTATTAGGTTGGTGCACGGTGAAGGCATTAATTTTGAGGCACTAAGAAAATGTTTGAAAAGGTAACGAAAAAACGGACATGCTCATTTTTGTTATTCTACTCTAAGTTTTTTTTTATAATTAATCAAAAAAAGGTGGCATATGACGTCACCATTCATCCTGCGTCTCTGATGTGTACTCACTGAGGCGATCTGGGAGCCGCTGAAACGTGCCGGGCTGCCGCGGGGCTGGGCTCCCTCCACTGCGGCGCTCACTGCAACACAGCGCGTGAGTTACGTCAGATGATGACGTCACTGCTGTGATGTCACAGTCGGTCTGGCGACCATCGCCGCAGCCGCTGTCGACATGCTTAGGTTCAATTATCAGTGGATGGTTCACTGAACGTGGCTCATTGAGGGAAAGTGTACAGGTACAGGCGAGAAGACATGAATGCGCGGAATGAAAAACAGTCGCACTGCTAATTACATACAATTCGTGAGAGTTTGCACAATTAACAAATGAAGTTGTCCGCTTAGATTACCTAGCTTTAATTTTAATAATGTGTGCCTTCTGTACCTTCCATCCTACGATGAGCAATGAGCGTATTCCATCATCAGACGTAAATATTTGCCAAAGTTTAATTTTCGAGCAAAGTGCATGCAAATTAAGCACATGCATGCTTCGCGAGCTCGAACGTGGCTATTCTTTCCGAAGGCCATCAAAAATGCACGGATGAAACTAACACCAGTCGCGTTTTCACTCAGGTCGCGTCGCATTGCGCCACTGTGGCGGTTTTATGATGAGAGTGCTGTCCGTTCTGCCTCGCTCGCCGACAGGCTGGGTCCGTTTCTCCCCTGTATAACGATGTCACGGACGGTGGCTGGTGCGCAGCCACCGTCAGCGATACGACGCCGATTCGCCGCAGTCGCGGAGCCTTCGACCGTGACGGCGTGGCCTCTGACACACGACTCATGGGATGTGCATTCGCTGTTGCATTAGTTATGGCGTGTAACCAGGTATACATATGTGACATGTGGAGGTGATTGTGGTGCATGGCGCATGGCTCGTGTTCGAAACTGTGACACTGTGATGAGCGACGGACTTTTGCTGTACTTTTTTTCCTTTAACATCTTTACCATTCAGCGTATATGTATTTATGTATTGACACTTGGACAGAATAGCCGTGAATATGGAGTTCCAAACGAAATAAATGATGATGATGACTTTTCTCCGTATGTAATTCAAAGTGAATTTACCTGGGACAGTGATTATTCAGGGTTCAACGAGTGATAAAGCATTAAATTACCGCAAATATGTTTTCATAAATTGAAACAGCTGACACAGAGGCTTGTTGTGTGAATTCATGCATATCTTACGATGACAGCGTGCATTCCAATCGTTGCAAACTGCTAGAGAAAGTACGTACACATTTGTGATTTCACGGTCTAGATGTTATACGGTTGAAACATGGAACACAACTATGAAAGCTGTCTACTGCAGCGTCCTATTACAAGAGACTTAGAAGCAGAGAGTACTCACCCTCCCGTCGGCTGCGCTGCTGTCCCTTTCCGGGGAAGGTGCCGTGGCCGATGAACCGTCCCTCGTCCGGCCGACGGGCAGACGGGGCCGGCGCAAAACGGGCCGGACGGCTAAACTCGCCACGGAGCTCCTGCCCGTCCGAAGGGAACCGCTGCTGGGCCGGGAACGACGGGCGGAACGACTGCTCGAACGATGGGGAGCTCTGCTGGAACGACTGGGGAGAGGTCTGCTGGAACCGCTGCTGGGGGATCGAGGAAAACGGGGGCTGGAAGAACTGCTGCTGTGACTGCTGCTCCTGCTGCGACGGCTGGCGCTGCTGCTGCTGCTGCTGCTGCTGCTGCTGAGGCTGCCTCTGCTGCTGCCTCTGCTGCGACTGCTGTGGTTGCGGTCCTCTGAGCACGTCCTGTGGTGACGGGTTCACGCCGAGGAACTGACCGGGGTTGCGCTGCCTCCTGACCGTCGAGTCCCTCATCAGCGGCTCCAGACTGTCCGGCAGCCGGCCACTGTACGGCTTGTTCAGCATCTCACGCAGCTCGTCAGAGATGTCCCGTCTGTAGCGCACACGGGGCGAACCTGGCGCGGTGGACAGGCGTCAGACGATAAACACAGGTGGCGAGGTGGCAGGAAAATAAGCCGGGAGATATATGGACTTTTTGCAAGAGCGACGCGTAAGACTCAAGCAAACGGTCAATAGGTAAGGGGTCAGAATATGAGCGATAAAAACGAGATAAGTTATGAGAAATGGGATACTCGTCGAGTGCATGAAGCATCTTGCGGTTACATTTTGAGCTAACTTTCCTTCTATTTGCCCTCAGACGATTATGTTTACAATATAGGAGTTGATTTGCTTGTCGAATTCATGAAAAGTTACATTAATCTAGAAAACACGTATTTGTGCAGTTATGTTCTTGGCTTGGAGCATTCCAATGCTAAGTAAAAGGTACTACCATTGTGCTTCGACATCTGTTGTTCTGATTGGTTACGATACGTTTCGCAATGCGCCATGACGCTTTGGCTAATGACACCCATTAGAATCACGGTCCACTGATTACCCAATTCAACTGCAAAATGCCTACAAGGCTACAACTGAGTGACAGTGAGGTGTGAGTTCATAACGCTCTCACAGGGCTGACGCCATTGTCGCTTATGATTTATTGCTGAGGTGCTTCCTCTGTCTTTCCTCCGTTTGTCTGTCTCATTCAATGTTCGAGTTAAGATGACGGGTTTTCCGTCTCATGTCCCAGAGGCCACAGATGGACTCTTCAAGACTCTTAACCCTCGCCCGTAAACGGTGTTTTGCCACCTTCGCCCATGCAGGGGGGTGGGGGGGTTGGTGCGACCCCCCCTGGCGTTTGAAAACGGAGCGTTGTAGAGCTTAGCGGAAAAGACCAACGGATTGCTCTCAACGAGATCTCGCGATTGGTGGTATATTTTTTGGTCCTAGGTCAACATTTGACCTATTTATGACCGGTCAAAGGTCAAATTTTCGGAAAAATCTAACTTTTTCAGATTTCCGCGCCGATTGCGGCAAAACGGTAAGAGATATCGACTTGAAACCTTCACTATCGTGATCCTTGATCAATTCTCTATCGTTTGGTGTATATTTCGATGTCATAACTCTAAAAATGATGCGTTGGGAGCATCGGAAGTCTGCAAGGTCATTTGTGCATTGGGTCACGTCAAGCGTGTGACGTCACTGACCTGACCCTGACCCAAAATGAACTACAAGATACAACCGACGAGGCCTGAAATGGATAGCAAATTCGAATTCAGGGCATCAAAATACCCCGAAAAGGCATACAAGTGCAAGAAGTCATTACAGGTCAACCGAGGTCACTGACCTGACCTTGACCTTTAGTAACCTTCAAAATGTCAACGGACATTGTGCCAATGTCAAATCAGCCAGTTGTGATTCTTAAACAATCCATCAGTGTGTCAGGTCAGTCGACATTTATACCAATGTGAAGCAATCTCCAATTTAGCGTAAATCTGGCCGGAGGTTGTTCCCTTTATGACGTCATAACTCCGTGACCTGACATGACCTTGACAATTTTTTTTTTTACCAAAAGTTGCGCAAAGGATGCCCCAAAGGCTACTGAAAATTTGAGCAGGCTATCTGAAACGGTTCGGCGTGTAGCTAAGAAAAACCTCAGGGGGTTGCACCAACCCCCCCCCCCCTACATGGGCGAGGGTTAATGATCAGCGTGACTTCACTCAGAAGTCAAGGGAGTTCAAGGGTGTCAATGGAGTTCCATGCATTGTAAGAACGAATGGATACTTACAAAGCCATTCTCAAACGGTTCAAATCGTCTTGGCGATGTTTAGGCGTACCAACTGTTTTGTTAAAAAAGTTAAAATATTAGGTAGGTAGGCACCTGATTGATATTATAAACGTATTACTAAAATTAATCAATTTGATTCTTCTTAGATGATGATGTGGCACTTCGTCAGCTCTCTCGTTTGATGACACTGATCAACGCGATATATTTATTATCTATATAGTATTTTTTAGCCAATAGGTAGGTACTTCCTACCTATAGGTACAGAGACTCAGTGACAAGCAGTGTGCCGTCAGATTCGAAATCACCAGCATGATTGTTCCTTATTATGAGCAGAGCTGCCATTTTCATTCAGCACCAAACACCCGACTAACCTGTTGTGACGGCCACTGCGATGATGAGCAGAGCGACGAACGTCTGTGCGGGCCTCATGGTTCTGTCTAGATGGCCGGTTGTCCGGAGAGGCAGACCAGCTTTGTGTGCGACCGTTGACCGATTCTGGTGCCGTCCGACCCCCGTCGGCGGTGTGTCTGCTCCGAGTCGGCCTGTCGGAGTCACCGGACCGATTCAGCGTCGAGCCTTCACTAGCGGCGGTCGGCGACGGGACGCCGCTTATATCGGCACCGCTCCCTCTCTATTCCCTTCTGCCTGCCTCTCGAAACCCCTGTCCCTCTGTCTCTGTGTCTCTGTCTCTGTGTCTCTGTCTCTGTGTCTCTGTGTCTCTGTCGCTGTGTCTCTGTCGCTGTGTCTCTGTCGCTGTGTCTCTGTCTCTGTGTCTCTGCACCTGTATAGGTGTCTGTCTCTGTGTCTCTGTATCTGTCTCTGTCTATGTGTCTCTCTGTCTCTGTCTCTGCCTCTGTGTCTCTGTCTATGTCTCTGTCTATGTCTCTGTCTATGTCTCTGTCTATGTCTATGTCTATGTCTCTGTCTATACATCTGTCTATGTCTCTGTCTATGTCTCTGTCTCTGTCTCTGTCTCTGTCTCTGTCTCTGTCTCTGTCTATGTCTCTGTCTCTGTGTCTCTGTCTCTGTGTCTCTGTCTCTGTCTCTGTGTCTATGTCTCTGTGTCTCTGTCTCTGTGTCTCTGTCTCTGTGTCTCTGTCTCTGTGTCTCTGTCTCTGTGCCTCTGTCTCTGTGTCTTTGTCTCTGTGTCTCTGTCTCTGTGTCTCTGTCTCTGTGTATCTGTCTCTGTGTCTCTGTGTCTCTGTGTCTCTGTGTCTCTGTGTCTGTGTCTCTGTGTCTCTGTGTCTCTGTGCCTATGTGTCTCTGTCTCTGTGTCTCTGTCTCTGCGTCTCTGTCTCTGTATAGGTATCTGTCTCTGTGTCTCTGTCTCTGTCTGTCTCTGTCTCTGTGTATCTGTCTCTGTGTCTCTGTCTCCGTGTCTCTGTCTCTGTGTCTCTGTCTCTGTGTCTCTGTGTCTCTGTGTCTCTGTCTCTGTGTCTCTGTGTCTCTGTGTCTCTGTCGCTGTGTCTCTGTCGCTGTGTCTCTGTCGCTGTGTCTCTGTCTCTGTGTCTCTGTCTCTGTCTTTATGTCTCTGTCTCTGTGTCTCTGTCTCTGTGTCTCTGTCTCTGTGTCTCTGTCTCTGTGGTGCCTCTGTGTCTCTGGCTATGTCTGTTTCTTTGTCTCTGAATCTGTATCGATCTATCTTTGTCTCTGTGCAGGTCTTTGTTTCTCTCTCTCTCTCTCTCTCTCTCTCTCTCTCTCTCTCTCTCTCTCTCTCTCTCTCTCTCCTCTCTCTCTCTCTCTCTCTCTCTCTCTCTCTCTCTCTCTCTCTCCCTCTCTCTCTCTCTCCTCAGTTTTGTGAGGACCTCATATTTTCTAAGCCACTCATCTTTCCTTTTAAATTTGTTTGTTATTTACTTCTCATGTGTTCTTCCAGGAATTTAAATATCATTTGGCATCAGCAACCAAAGCCACAGGCTCCCCAAAGTAAATTTTATGCATGCATTTATTGTCTAACGTTTATTTGCAGTAGTTTACTGGTCACATCGAAATTGTAACGCCTGCGCAATGTTTGTATTTATTTGTTCATGACTCAGCTCAAGGTTTAGCCAAGGCCATCTATAGAGGTTTAGCTTTGCGTTGGTGTTTGTTGCTGTCTTGCTTATTTTAGGGGGTAAGTACTAAGTTGAAGTGTAAAATCATCGTTTTTTTATCAGTGGAGGGTTTTGCAATAAGCTTCTATGCTACTCTTTTTTATCCGCTATAGCCAGGATAATTGTAAGCTTGTCAGTCATCACGAATCGGTGTGAGTTGTGACTGGTCTATAACTGGCACACCTTTCACTTTAGTGTGTCTGCTTTATACTACATGTCGGTTTATACTACATATACTGTTTTCTAGGGATTTTCAGTGGCTTAAGTGTAGCGTCAATATCAACATCCTTTTGAAATAGTGACGTCTTTGCGGCTTTAGTCACACTCCGAAAAATCAATTTCAGTAATCAGTACGCTGGTTAGTGGTTCATATTATTGTGTATTTCAATTTGTAGGTACCAATGAACTTACTTTAATGAAGAATTCAATTTTATTTTATGGTAACAAGCTGACAAATGTTGAATGCTTCAGTTTCAGCCTACCCATCAGCAATGAATAGACTGTTTGGAAGCTCCAAGCCCAAGCAGCCTCCACCAAATCTTAACGACTGCATTGGAAATGTAAGTGCTTGATGTTCTAGATGGCTTAGGATGCAGAATCCTGAGACCCGGCATTCAACTTTGCTTCATTCTTTTTTGCAACTTTGCCTGCTAATGTTGATGGGGTGGGAACTAAGTGAGACCAAGTAGGTAGGGTGCTGTTTGTTGTCTATTTTTATCAGCATATGCCAGTTTTTCCATTATGGAAGTAAAGTTAGTTGCTATTGTTTCTTGAGCTCTCATTCAGCAGCCACACACTGACACATGGCACAAATTTCACTTATGACAAGATGAGAAATGGTAGCAAGCTAAGGGTACACTGATAAGAATGGTGATAGAACAGCTTGTTCAGAACCCAGGCAGACCACAGAAATGAGAATGATGAGGACAGGGGAGGTATACATTCTGATTTTGTGGAATAATGGATGCTGCATTGTGTATGGACAGTCTTGGGAGCTCCATAGCTGGGGTAGTGATTGTGTGTAAACTTTGCTGTATTTGTATAAAGTTGATATCACTCTTACCAGCGACTTCCAATGTATATTCTTGTTGGGACACTAAGGCTGTCTGAAATGTTTTCTGTCTGTTATGGATGGTATTACCCTCTAAAACTCACTATTTTTTGGCTGTTCACCATGTTGTGCTCACTCATGCTCACTGCCACTTTGCCTTGTGCCAATGCCAGCTCAACCATCTCCACATTTACAAGCAAGGTGCTTACAATTGATGAAACCTTACAACATGCACTCTAGCACCAGGCCTAAGGTCAGGTATGAACACTTTGTAAGCTCATGCAGGGCCAAAGACATTTGAATACAGTGAAACTGTAAGAGGTCAGTTGTTGCCTACTGTCCTTTGAAAATATGCACTTAAGCTCATTTCACTATAGAAACATTGGTTTCCTCTTCCTTTTCACTTCCTCATTGATGATTGCTTCCTCTCAACAGGCATTCAGGACACTCAGTATTTTCATATCATCCTTATTACCAAGAACATGTTACCTGTGATTTCCCTCTGGCTTACTCGAGGGCACAGCATGTTCATTGTTATGGGAGAGTAGTTTGAGCTAGTGGTATGTCATGACAAAGGACAATTTGTTCTGCAGGTGGACAGCAGAGCGGACTCGGTGGAGAAGAAGGTGGCGCGGCTGGACGCCGAGCTGCGCAAGTACAAGGAGCAGATGAAGAAGATGAGGGACGGCCCCGGCAAGAACGCCGTCAAACAGAAGGCCATGCGGGTGCTCAAACAAAAGAAAATGTGAGTGTTTCTGTAGTGCATCAACTCTGTATGGTATGCAACAACTGTGTCACCTGTCAATTATTGCAGAAACTTCTACTTTACTAATTGCCTTGACCCTCATTCACGCAGTCACATCCATTCGTTGTCACCCATGTTAGCAGATTGGCTTTATGTTATCCTATTTCAACTCTGTGATCTAGCACGATGACTCTTCATGGGTAATTTATACCTTTTATCCTTTTCTTTCTTTTCTCCTTTTACGATCCTTTTATTTAAGCGATGCGTCCTATATGGTGTCACCCCTCACCCTGACACCCCTTTCTCCCCAGGTACGAGTCCCAGCTGGACAACCTGCGCCAGCAGTCGTTCAACATGGAGCAGGCCAACTACGCCACCCAGTCGCTCAAGGACACCCAGGCCACCGTGGTGGCCATGAAGGCCGGCGTCAAACAGATGAAGAAGGAGTTCAAGAACATCAACATTGACGACATCGAGGTGAGTGCTGAGTAGTAGATTAACGGACGTGACTAGATGAACGATATTATATAAACGGGATTGTAACCTTTTTTGCTGTTGCAATTGTGTCTCACTTTTGCGTACCCATCCGTTACCAGAAGAGTTGACCTTTACGTTAATGCTCCACAACAGGCCTGTTGACGTCGTGCTGCTGGGTTTTGTCATCGGACGTTTCTCAGGACCGTTTTCCCAAATGTATCCAGTTACCATGTTTTTTCAGTGTTAGTGCAACACTTACTGGAACGCGGTCATCGTATAACTTTATTATTGTAGCTTCCGCAAGCCCCAACAATCATAAGTTCACGTAACATTCACGTTTTATGTGCCACCATTGCTATCCCGTATATGTTTGAGGCCATCCCGACTCTCTTTGTCGGCATTGCGTCTGTGCGCCTTCGTTATTGTTGGCTTCCTACATTTAGCTTTTTAGTCACCGCTGCCAGCCAGATACTCTCGTTGAAGTGTCATCAATGCCGCATACATGTATCTTATAGATACTCGATATATCTACACACAGTCCGTGCATAACCGGATTCAATCACTCTCATCACTATCTGTACCGTTGTTTTCGAAAGCACCTCCGAACTCCGTTTCTAAAGCAGCGTCCGTCTGTCGCGTTCCAGGACATTCAGGACGACATGGCCGACATGCTGGAGCAGTCTGAGGAGGTGCAGGAGGCGCTCGGACGCAGCTACGGCACCCCCGAGCTGGACGACGACGAACTGGAGGCCGAGCTGGACGCGCTGGGCGACGACCTGGCGCTGGACGACGACCTCAGCTACCTGGACGAGGCCAGCAAGGCGCCCGAGATTCCCGGCACCGAGCCGGGCGCCGCCTCCGTCAGCCAGGTGGGTGTGTGTGTGTGTGTGAGGGAGAGAGGGAGGGGACGCTGTTTGTGGCGAGAGGTGTGTTTGCGCATACGTTGAACCAAGCGCAGTGCTCACGCAGGTTTGAATTAGTTTGTGTCTTTTTTGTCAATATATTAATTACTGTCTTTCTATTTTTCTTTTTAGATGCGATGAGATGTAGCCTTGCACCTGATCAAACCGTTCCAGACCTCTTGCACATGGAAAAGGCGGAAGTTTTAGGGATATGACATGAAAGGCAATAGGCATGCAAATAGTTGTCTAGGGTAAGGCTCGATGACCTGCACTGTAAAAAAGAATGTTTACTAATTTTCTAGTTATCCGGCCACTTTTCAGTAACAAAATGCGAGTAGACTTCACTTTTCACGAACTAAATGCGAGTAGACTTCAAGTCTACTCGCATTTTGCTAGTGAAAAGTGGCCGGATAGCTAGGAAATTAGTAAACCTTTTTTTACAGTGTGGTTGCTTATGCCAGACTGTGTAGCTGTTGTATATGGCGGAAGCTGTCCTGCCCTGCGCTTTCAGTGACGTTTTCTGTGTGTGTTTTCAGGACGGCGTCGTGCTGGACGAGTTCGGACTGCCCAAGATCCCCGAACGTGCGCAGTGATTGGCCGGTGCCGGGCGGACCAGAGCCGCGATTGGTGGACGCAGACTGAGGTCAGGCCGTGATTGTTGGACACAGATTGAGGTCAGGCCGTGATTGGGGGTTCACCGGTTCAGTGTGTGGGAAAGGTGTGATTGGTGGAGTCAAGTCGTGGTCGGGCCGTGATTGGTGGAGACGGACAGTGCTCGGGATGTGATTGGTGCGCCTTGACCGTGGAGGATGAAAGTGCTTGTTAGGCCTAGTGTGTGAGAACCGCATTAGTTGGTGTAATACCTGACGCAGTCGATATAATTGATAGCATATTATGGTCAGTCTGGGTAAGACTATTTCAGACACAGAAAATTATATTAGTTTTATCTCTTAGGGTGCTTCAGATAGTCTACAGACAGCCTGCATTCACGCTCTTTCACTTGACTGCCCTTTCATTGGGGATTCACTTATTGTCGCAGAGTGTGGATCACCACCACTTGGATATTGTCACGGGATATTGTCACAGTCATGTGTGTTTAGATGTCCTTCTGTTCACTGAAGCACTGTCAAAGGCGTGTTCAGCGTGCCTCTTTAGAATTGATTATTGAAATGTAATCGAGGGGGGAGCAGGGCTCTGAATGCAATTCGAGCGTCCTTCGTCCGCGCGTTATGTTCCGCCGTTATATGCTCGGGAAGGGGGGGGGGGGTAACTTAGGGTGTGCTGTGACCGCCCGTCACATTGCCTTTATCGCCACTACACTGTGACTGACGGATAGTTCACACGCGGTCCAGTGGCTGTCCGTGAGCTGAGCGAGTCTCGCTTTCTCTGTGTGATCGGTATCGCGACGGTATCTTTTCAGCTCGCCGTTTCTTCAGTGTATGTATAAAGCTAACACTCGTCTTTAATAGTAAGAAGGCTGGTTGCTTTACCATTTGCTACTTGTTTCCACAATACTCTAAACTTAAACTGCATTATTTTACGACTTTTTTAGTGTCAAAAAGTTGAGCTTTTCCTGTGAAATAGTCGAAATATAGTTTGGAGTCTAGTTTTGGCGCTTCAGTCGTGGTTCGTTCACTACATAGTGACACCGACGCGGTCAGTGGCAGGTCGACATACCAGAACTCCTCGCATTGTTTGCGCTCACGATACCCATAGCACAGTACTCATACAATGGTTATAGTTACAGCCCCATAAATGCAGCTTTAGCGTTACGACGGCGGGCGCCGCATGGCCATTGCCGGTTCATTGCCGGTATGCTCTACACACCCACGGTGTTTAATGAGGCGGCGGGCGACGCGGCGGTAAACTTCGGTGATGCATACAGACAATACTAGGCCTCCATACGCATTTCGGGTCGTTTTTGCTTAATGACGGGTCGATGATCGTTAACTGTCAATTATGTAGGACAACGAAGCAATGCAGGTACACACCGATCTACTGATATTGTGCATGCACACTTGCTTCTTTCATGTCTTTCATCATTCATGCTACCTTTTATGCCCTTTTTTGGCGCTCCTCAAAGAAGGGCATTTGACCTTTTCGTGAAAAATAATTGACCGTGGTCATGAAAGGAACTTACTGCTGCCTTACTTTCAAGAATAATGCTTTCGTGCAAGTATGGGGCGCGGCAAGAGTTTTGGTACCTAACAAATCGTTCCTTTCCTTCAGTAATAATAATGCGACAGATTCATTTCACCGGTCAATATATTCTACATGAAGCTGGGCACAGCGTGAGACACCAACAGGTACAGGGGTGGAGAATTGTGCCGAGTTGGGGTAGCACAAGCCTTCCCAATTCCACGCCGGCTGCGCCGGCTTGGCTTTGGAGCCGCACCAGACGGCGGAGGTCAAGGTCACCGCCAGGGCGGCGGCGGATTTGCTGCGCCCGTGCAACCCCAACTCGGCATATTTCTCCACCGCTGAACAGGTATGCTAGTCACAAAATTCTGGAGATGCTAACTAAGGGCTCATGTTTGCCCAGGCTCCGAGGTGTCCGGCGTCGCTGAGTGGTTCAGTGTAGTCAAGCTTCTGCTGCACGATTCTTTGGTAATTTGATTGGATTTAGGTTAGACCTGTTCCCTAGCCATTTGCCCTTCGCCTAGATATCGGATAGATGCTCTTGGCAGTTGGCACCACCTCTTAGTTCTGGCAAACCGATGAGCAGGAGCACCGTACTGCATGAAAAGGCTGTCTGACCCGATTTTCTGTTCATTTTTGGTCCTATACGAGTTTTATGGGTCTTCGATACGTATGTGTCCTTCCATTACCGACGGACAATTGTCCCAGACACCGGATGGTTCTGTAAAGTTAACCTTTTAGCAACTCTTTGTAGAGTGCTCGGATTTCCTAGATGATTTCGTCATGACGATTTTGGTGGCGGTTGAAATGCGGAAGAGCCGCCCTGAATGGGGTCTACATTTTACGCTCCCCTTCTTAATTCTTCCACCAGCGCTTAATGGTAGGAAATGGTACTCTTAAGTGCCAGGCAACATCCTTCTGTGTATTGCCATCTTAGAAGATGCTAAAAGCGAGACTACGCACCTCGAACTGTAAACTTAGACCCCCATGTGTATGTATTGTGTAGGCCGTAGTTCATGCGCCGATCACTCGGTAGACAATGACCCAGGCTATTCACTATCTGGGCCAATATCAGCTGTTCAGCTAATCTCCGCCTCAGGGAAGGATGCAGGAATGCAAGGACGCTCTCGGCAACGTGATATTTGGGAGCATATTGGAAATATACCAAGCTATCTCGGATAGATAGAAGGTATCAAGGTATCTTTTGCCGCACCCTATATGTTCTCGTTAGGGCCCTAAAAATGGCGTACTGTATATACCTATAATATACAGTACGCCATTGGGAGTGCATGGGAGCGTCATTACTTAGTTCTAATGATTCCTTGCAGCAGTGCTTGTACATGGCCTACTCATCGCCCTCCCGTGTTGGTACTTGGTAGGTCAGGCACATGATATGTGTCGTGCTGGTGGGATGGGGTTCCGTCGGCCCTGCAATCGGTGCTGGGACGGGACCTGCGCAGCCCGAGTCCGTCCCGTCATCGTCCCGTTCTTAAGAGACATTCATCTGTACCAGAATCACCACATAAGTGAGGACGAAGCCGAGCAGGGAGACGATGGTTTCCTTCTGCGTGCTGAACAGACCCCAGCCGTGAAAGACCAGCTCCTGTCGGGTTTGCTCGAGCAGCAGGTGTAGCTCCGAGTGGACGGCGGGCGGCGCAGGAGAAGACCAGCGGACGGACGACAGCCGCGCGCGCAGCCGCTGCTGCTGCCCCGACAGCTGACTGCCAGCGGCGCCGATTGCCACCAGACGCACGGCGAACGACGCCAGGAACAGCAGGAACATGACCGACTCGCTCACCTGCGCGGCCGTGCTGAAGAAGATGTGCACCAGCTGGATGAAGCAGTAGATGCCGGCCAGAAGGCCGGTGGTGGCTGCGGTGTGCAGGCTCAGAGTGGGCAGCGAGCAGAGATCAGCGCTGTTCTCTGCCAGCTGGGTGACCTCACTGAGCGTGGCAGACAGCAGACGCAGGCGGCTCTCGGGATCGGCGGTACGCTGCAGCGGTGCCGGGGCAGACTCGGCGCGGGTGTAGGCGGTCGGCGGTGACCTCTCTGCAGAGGTCAGTACGAACGGACCGCGAGTGGTGGGAGCGGGCGGCTCGCCGCTCTGCTGACGGACATGGATGACGGTGCCGGCGGCGGGTGACGTGTCTTCCGGCTCGGGGAGGACGCCGTTCGGTTCGCCCGCCGACTGAATCCCGCCTCCGTCCCCGTCGGCCCGGCCCAGCTCGGCGGCGAACCTTTCCAAGCGTATCAGCAGAACGGCCGTCACGTCCATCAGACCCACCAGCAGGACGTCAAACAGCGCCACCAGGCCGGCGGTCATGTTCAGGTAGACCAGCTGGAGACCAAACACCACCCCGCTGCCCGGGAGCTGTTGGAGGGCACTCGGCAGCAGCGCCGGCAGCAGCGGCTGGGTGTGGACCGTCGGTTGAAGCACCTCGTCAAAGTAAAGGTAGCGCGTCCACCACAGTACCGTGGGCAGCGCAGTGGCGGCTGTGAGCAGCGCGGTCTGCCGGAGGAACGGTCGGAAGTCGGCGGCCTGCTGACACAGCGCTGTGGCCTTCAGCAGGCGCTCGGCGCGGCGCAGCAGGCCGTGCAGCCGGCGCCGGTGGAGCAGCAGGTGAACCAGCACGGCCAGCGAGTGGTACAGCAGCGCGCCCATGGTCAGACAGTACATCATCATGGAGGCAGGACGGGCGGTGACGGTGCTGGCCAAGGCACAGCCGCTCACCACGGCGGCCAGGGTCAGCGTAAGGAGCCGGCCGGCGCGCCAGCCGACCGCCACCCGCTGACCGGACACGTGCAGGCCGCTGACGGTCAGCAGGGAGGTCAGCAGCAGCGCGCGCCGCAGCACACGCACCTGGCTCCACATGGCAGCGGCCGTCCGTATCTGCGGCTGGACCTGAGGGGTGGGGAGAGGCGCTAATGATCAGTGACAGTATTGAATTTTCTTAAGAGAAAGCAAAACTCGCCGCTGATTGACTCACTACGTGATTGCATGGAAATGAAATATATACAATTATCGACATTTGTGTCGACATCAATCCACGATTCACGTACAGAGACGAACATTTTATCTCGGAATCGTTTGAAAATTTTGATCGTAACTGAAGCCGTCAAAATTGAACCGGCCTCATTCTCGAGATTTTTTATTATACAATGCCTTTCCTATTATACCCTTTTGGAGGCACGGAATAACTGTTGTCAACAGCGGTTGTCTTATGCAATGAAAAACACAATTGAAACTTAACTGTCTAGTGCCCTTACGTTGTGCCGGTGCTGGGTCACTCGGATGAGTGAGGCCAGTCCGTCGTGACTGACCGCCGGCCACCGACTGTCGCCACCGGCGTGGCTCCGGTGGCCCCTGTCCCGCCGCCACCACACCAGGCACCTATGGGACCCCGGTGGTTATGTTGTATGACAGTAGCTGGACCAATCAGAGCCATCATAACTGGACGAAAGTGTGCTACGCACACCACAAACGGAAGCTGGTGAAAAGTTATGACTTTTAATCAGTGGGTGATAAATATTTATTGGTGTGCTTTGTGTAGGTCCAATGTCCATGATGATACGTGAATGTCTCTGAAGAACGCATACTACTACATACACCCAGACCCAATAAAGACTGATCGATGAGTAATAGAAGCATTCAATGGGCGAGGTGCGTAGGTTAATGACTAATGTGCATTGTGCAATATGCATAAGAGCGCGAGCCATGGATGAGGCCGTTGTCGAGCACTACACAGTGTAGCCCTTGCGCGTCGTTATCACTGCAAAGTTCCAAAGACTTTTGGTTATAGCACCGCGCCGAACGCCATGCTATCCAATGCAGGAAACCCCCTTAACCCTTTGACCCTCGCCCGTAGGTATTGGTGTTTTTCCAGCCGCGAACGTGTAAGCAAATAACTCGCGAAATATTATAATTGCAAATGACTCGCGAAAAAAGCGGCTGATCGCGACGAAACTTTCCGTACCATCGCGTTGCTCAATTTTACACCTACCCTGAAAAACTGATCCAAATGACCTTCTACATGTGACCTACTTTTTGAGACCATGTTTGGTCAGAATCGCGATTCGGCGTATGTCGGCTTGCGTTAGCCGCGCGTTTGCAGTCTTTTCGTAGTTTCAAACGTTCAAACATGATATTTGATGTTGCTCCCAAGTCCCATGCATTAGGGTGGGTGTCAAGATCACCTGAAGGTCAGGTCAGGTCATTGACCTTCGATGACCTCGGTCCACTTTTTCGAGTTTTACATGTTTGTAGGCTAGTTTTTGGGGCTGAGTTCGAATTTAGCAACCATATGAACATTCACGAAGTAGGTAGTTTTGGCGCCTTCGTAACATGTTACGAAGCTTTCAGAGGCGGTTGACACGTACTACGAATACCCGGCAGGACCCCATAGCAACCACACTTTACGACGTTCTAACAGGTCCCGATTTTCCCGACTTTTGGGTCATTGACCTGAC